CTCTCGCCTCTCACCTCTCTCTTCCCACCTCCTCTCACCTCCCACCTACTCTCACCTCCCACCTCCTCTCACCTCCCACCTCCTCTCACCCTTCACCTCTCACTTTCCACCTCCTCCCACCTACTCTCACCTCCCACCTCCTCTCACCTCCTCTCACCCCCTCTCACCTCCTCTCATCTCCCACCTCCTCTAACCTCTTCTCACCTCCCATCTCCTCTTGCGTCTAACTTCTTCTCACCTCCTCTAACCTCCTTACTCTCCCCTCCTCTCACCTCCTCTCTTCTCCTCTCCCCTCCTCCCACCTCCTCCCACCTCTCCTCTCCCCCAGGTATGCTCTACATGCCTGAGCCCGACACCTTCTACATGGATAAGATGACGGGGGAGAAACAGCCCCTCCCGGTGGACTTTAACGGGATGTGCAGCCTGGAGAAGTTCTACTCCGACCCCAGGGCTGCGGACGGGAACAGCTACCGGCTGCAGCTGTGGATGTACCTGATGAGGCTGCTGCAGTACGCCGACGCCATCGAGCACCTGCTCACCACCGGTAGGGCCGGGGCACGCTAACAGGAGGCCCTGCTAACAGGACACCCCGTTAACAAGATGGCCCGCTAATAGCCCTGCTAACAGGACGCCCTGCAGCCTGCTAACAGGACAATCTGCTAACAGGACACCTTGTTAACAGGATGTCCTACTAACAGGAGGCCCTGCTAACAGGACGCCCCGCTAATAGCTCAGCTAACAGGACGATCTGCTAATAACCCCGCTAACAGGACGCCCTGCTAACAGCCCCGCTAACAACCCACTAACAGGACGATCTGCTAACAGGACACCTTGTTAACAGGATGTCCTACTAACAGGAGGCCCTGCTAACCGGACGCCCCGCTAATAGCACACCCCGCTAACAGGACCCCCCGCTAACAGGACGCCCTGCTAACAGTCTTGCTAACAAGACGCCCTGATAACAGCCTTGCTAACAGGATGATCTGCTAGTAGCCCCGCTAACAAGACGCTCTGCAGCCTGCTAACAGAACGCCCCGCTAACAGCCCTGCTAACATGACGCCCCGCTCGTAGCCCTGCTAACAGGACGCCCTTGCTAACAGGAAGATCTGCTAGTAGTCCCGCTAACAAGACACTCTGTAGCCTGCTAACAGAACGCCCCGCTAACAGGACGCCCTGTTAATAGCCCTTTTAACAGGACGCTCTGCTAACAGGACACTTTTCTAACGGGATGCCCTGCTAGTAGCCCCGCTAACAAGACACTCTGTAGCCTGCTAACAGAACGCCCCGTTAACAGGACGCCCCGCTAATAGGACGCTCTGCTAACAGCCCTGCTAACAGGACGCCCCGTTAACAGCCATGTTAACAGGACGCCCTGCTAACAGTGCTGCAGCCTGCTAACGCCTTGCTAACAGCCCTGCTGCCTGCTAACAGCCCCACTAAAAGGACACCCTACAGCCTGCTAACAGGATGCCCTGCTTACCACCCTTCAGCATGCTAACAGCCTTGCTAACAGCCCCGCTAACAGGACGCCCTGCAGCATGCTAACAGCCCTGGGGTCTCACTCACCCTGTGCCCTGCCCTCAGGTCAGGGGGTGATCCTGGAGCGTTCCCCCTTCACCGACGGCGTCTTCCTGGACGCCATGTTCAAGCAGGGCTACATCCGGAAAGAGTGTAAGTAACCTTTACCAGCAGGACCGCAAAGGTCAGGCAGGACCTCTGCTGGTCCAGTGGGTCCTGGTCTAGTGGATCCTGGTGGATCCAGGTCCAGTGGATCCTGGTCTATTGGATTTGGGTCCAGTGTATCCTGGTGGATCCTGGTCCAGTGGATCCTGGTGGATCCTGGTACAGTGGATCTGGGTCCAGTGGGTCCTGGTCCAA